GTCTCTTCCCCACCTCCGCCTCCCCTTTCCATCCCCCTCCCCCAATCCATTCCCCCTCCCTCGTCAGCCCAAAGAGCAATCAGGGCTCTCCGTCCCGTGGGAAGTCCAAGGAAAACCCTCCTCCGTCCAGGTCTCGTAAGGTGAGCATCCAAACATCCTAGGCTCCCACAAAGCCACTACATGCAGTAGGATCAAAAACCCCTTGCCATTGTTCTTGATGTCTCAGTAGTCCTCATTGTCCGCTATGTTCAGTGAGACCGGTTTTAACCCAGGCTTTTTCAGACCCAGGTCAGCTGGCCTTGGTGAGTTCCCGATAGAGCATCTCCATTGTCTCAGTGTGTGGGTGCACCCCTTGCAGTCCTGAGTTCCTTGCTCATGTTCGCTCTCCTTCTGCTCCTGATTTGGACCTTGAGATTTCAGTCCGGTGCTCAGGTAATTCTTTTTGATTTGTTTTACTTCTTCTATTTTGAGATTATGGTAAAATTACATAATTTTCCCTCCCCGTTTGCAGCTCAGTTGATTCCAGTCTAGACAATTCACTTGTAAAACCTGTTTCTATTTATTTTATATTTGGCTGTCTTGGTAGTTAAAGTCCCACCTTCCTAGCTCCAGACTAGTATTATCATCTAAAATCTGATGTCTCTGTCAGCCTGTTTAGTTTATAGCTGCAAACCCACAGACAAGTCACTTATCCGCCATGATTGTTTGACTAGTATTGCTTACTCAAGTGTTGAATTAAATCTTTCTATTGAGTTTGGAGCATATTCCACGCCAAATCAAACTGTGGACTTTATTTTCTCTAGGAAGTTTATCCCGTTGCTTTGTCTTCCTATCAGCATGGGAGCAGAAGGAAGAATATTGCCAGCCTACTTCATACAGAGTGAACTGAACAGAGCTACATATTTCTAAAGCTGGTAATTTATGTTAGACCCTCTGCTTCATGAGAATTTATCCTACAACACTATGAAATCAAATGAAAGTGGAAACCCTGGCCCAGTTTTGTCTTTTATCATACCATGGCTACTGTGGTATGCATATGCAGTGAGTGTTTTTCACCACATGAGACAGGGTTACTGGGCTGGACGGCCTTGGAAAGAGTCAGTGAAGGGAAACTGAAAAAAGAGGCCGTGAATTTTAAGGAGAAGATGGAGGGTGTACGGAAGGGTTGGGGGAAGGAAAGGGATGTGAGAAATGGTGTGATTATGTTATAATATCAAAAAATGAAAAATAAAAAGAATCTGTGTCTGGAACTTCATCTGAATAATCTGAATTAATAGGTGAGTCATTTGAACTGACTTGGTGATTTTTGAGGATATGAATTATCTCTGTTTTTCATCCCACATGAGTTTTCTCATGGTTATCTGACCATTTGGGCTTTGATTAGTGGTTCAGAATAATTTTCCTTTTATTCTTTCACTTCAAGTTGTCGCTGTTCTTTCAGTGGACAGGTTTGAAATGCTCAGTAAAGACTAAGCCGTAACAAAGTTATGGTGATGTTTTTGCCTTTTGGACTGGAGTTCTGGACCCCAAGATCTATCTGCAGTCTGCCCTTACCAGAAATTACCAGAATTATCTGTAGGACCTAAAGTCAACACCAAACTGATCAGGAAACTGTCTTTCTCCTGACTAGCTTTTATCATGCTAGGAGGGCCTGCACAGATGTCAAGGGTAGAAAAGGGCAACACTAATCTCTCAAGAAAGTAGAAGTCGGGCAATGGTGGCTTACACCTTTAATCCCAGCACTCGGGAGGCAGAGTCAGGCGGATCTCTGTGAGTTCGAGACCAGCCTGGTCTACAGAGCTAGTTCCAAGACAGGCTCTAAAGCTGCACAGAGAAACCCTGTCTCGAAAAAAAAAAAAAAAAAAAGAGAGAGAGAGAGAGAGAGAGAGAGAGAGAGAGAGAGAGAGAGAGAGAGAGAAAGGGAAAGAAAGAAAGAAAGAAAGAAAGAAAGAAAGAAAGGAAGGAAGGAAGGAAGGAAGAAAGAAAGAGAAAGAAAGAAAGAAAGAAAGAAAGAAAGAAAGAAAGAAAGAAAGAAAGAAAGAAAGAGAGAAAGAGCTTCCAGGTGCGATAGTAGCTCAAGTTTATGAGTAACTAAACCGTTCTGGTTAGATTTGAGTCTTTCTCCACAGGAGTGGATGTTGCATCATACCCCATCCAGTGCTGTATAAAACCACTGAGGCCCTTTTCTGTGCAGGCCCTCCTAGCATGATAAAAGCTAGTCAGGAGAAAGACAGTTTCCTGATCAGTTTGGTGTTGACTTTAGATCCTACAGGTGAGTCTCGTATCTTCTGGTAAGGGAGACTGCAGATAGATCTTGGGGTCCAGAACTCCAGTCCAACAGGCAAAAACATCACCACAACTTTGTTACAGCTTAGTCTATCCTGAGCATTTCAAATCTGTCAACTGAAAGAAGTGCGACAACTTGAAGCGAAAGAATAAAAGGAAAATTATTCTGAACCACTGATCAAAACCCAAATGGTCAGATAACCATGAGAGAACTCATGTGGTATGAAAAACAAAGATAATTCATATCCTCAAAAATCACCAAGTCAGTTCAAATGACTCACCTATTCATTCAAATTATTCAGATGAGGTTCCAGACACAGATTCTTTTTATTTTTCATTTTTTGAGATTATAACATAATCACACCATTTCTCACATCCCTTTCCCTCCCACAACCCTCCCGTACACCCTCCATCCCCTCCTCCAAATTCACAGCCTCTTTTTTCAGTTTCCCTTCACTGACCCCTTCTCCAAGGCCGTCCAGCCCAGCAACCCTGCCTCATGTGGTGAAAAACACACAAGCATATGCATACCACAGTAGCCATGGTATGAGAAAAGACAAAACTGGGCCAGGGTTTCCACTTTCATTTGATTTCATAGTGTTGTAGGATAAATTCCCATGAAGCAGAGGATCTAACATAAAGTACCAGCTTTAGAAATATGTAGCTCTGTTCACTCAGTGTGAAGTAGTCTGGCAATATTCTTCCTTCTGCTCCCATGCTGACAGGAAGACGAAGTGATGGGGTGGACTTTCTAGAGGAAATAAAGTCCACAGTTTGATTTGGCGTGGAATATGCTCAATACTCAATAAGATGATTTAATCATTCAATGCTTGAGTCATTTACTATTCAAGCAAATGGGAGTTCGAACAGAAAGTGTCCTTTCTATGGGTTTGCTGCTGGCAGCTTTAACAGACTGACAGAGACACCAGATTTTAGATGAGAATGCTAGACTGGAGCTAGGAAGGTGGGACTTTAACTTCCAAGACAGCCAGATAAAGTAAGGAGAAACAGGATTTCGAGTGAATTGTCTAGACTGGAATCAACTGAGCTGTAAACAGGGAGGGAAAATGATGTAATTTAACATAATCTCAAAATAAGAGAAATGACACAAATAAAAAGGAATATCTTAAGCAGTGCAATTGAATACTCATTAAAAAAATAAAATAAACGGCTGAAGTTCCTCAGCAGGGGACATAGTAAGGCACAGAGGGAATAAAGAGGAAGGAACTTCCTTTTCAAAGTTTGCATTGCTTTAAAGGTGCCCTTAGTCTTCTTAGTTTACAATTGATGCACACACTAGGCTTCCTGTTTGTTTCAATACCCTTTATACACAGAACAGAGAGTGAAGGCATTATTTTCATTATGATAACATCTCATTACACACTGGCATAGAAACAGGATCTGGCTCCTAGAATGGAAGTAACTTGGAGAGAGAAATTCGGTTTTGAAAACTCTTTATGTAGGGATTATGATAAGAAAAATGTATTTTTGGAGTGCTTATGCAAGAACCAGTCATGCAGTAGAATTTGTCCTTAATAAGTTAGATAACACTTTATGGCAGGTTAAAATTCAACCTCCAAAAATTTGAAAAGTTTTATTTGCTGAACTTCCTAAGTAGAATGAGCAGAGAGAAACATGGGGAGAACCATTTTGCTTCTCATCTCTGTGGTCCTTGTAGCTTATTATGTGTATACTCCTCTTCCAGCTGATATTGAAGAGCCTTGGAAACTGGTACTCGAAGTAACGACAGAAAACATATACACGAATTTGGTAAGTTCGGTAAGAACAAACAGTAAGTTCTGAATGGCCTTTTGAATACTGAATAATGTAATAGAAAGAAAATAGAGGTTGAGAAGTTTCTGAGCATGCTCAGTCTCCAGGTTTAATCCCTGTGAAGACAGCAACAGGGAAGAAGCTAGCAGAGGAGAAAGAGCAAGGATGAAGAGTGCGTGTTGTACAGTACTGTCAGGTGAAGCTTTTTACAGGTATCAACTTCAGGGAAGGAAGAACGGAATAGTCTTCTCTTTAATTACAGAAGTCTGGGCAGTACTCTTGGACTTAGGCATAGACTTACAGCTTGTTGATACAGTTCATGAGACTGAGTGATTAAAATTGAAACAGTAAAAAGCAACACATATGATTCCCAATTGGAGCAAGGTGTATCTCTGTAGGAGAATGTGGTTACCTGGCTTGCTGCTCACAGTTGTCACTGCTAGTTCTTTCTGAGAGAAATTTAGTATGTAGAAATAAAATCATACACGTCTTCTTTAGCCCTCTCTGTAGTGAATTTATTTTGTGGAGCAAAATATTTGTAAGTCAGTCAATGACACTTATCCTGAGTAACAAACATCTGACGCGCTGTCTTAGTTAGGATTCTATTGCTGGGAAAAGACACAATGACCATAAAAACTCTTATAGAGGAAATTGTTTCACTGGGGCATCTAATTAGTCATTCATTCTTTCTGAACTATTTCTACAATCCTCTTTTCTTTTGCTTTATTTTCTTTTTCCACACTATGTAATATTTTGAGTTTTAGTTTGATTTTATCAGTGAAGTTATTTTGGCATTTCTTCTTATTCCTTTTCTAATTCTAGCATGAAGACTGGCAACAGTGTGTTTCTTCTGTTCTTCCTTCTGGTTAGCAATAATCTCACAACATCTCTCTGTCTAGTCCTGGAGTTCCTATGGTTCTGTCTTTTGATGGTCTATGATATTTTAAGAATTCATCTCTGAAGTAGTGTACCATATAGTCTTATATACTTGCATTGTTCATTTATAGTGAATGCCATTTTGTTAGTGTACCATATAGTCTTATCATATTTGTGATTACAGTTTCTTGTTTATTTCCTTTTTGAATACTTGCACTGTTTATTTATATTAAATGTCATTTTACTTGACTGTTATGTGTACCTTTCTTGTATTGTTAACTTGGCTAATCATTGACAGTCTTCAACTATTTCTTGGGGAATGCAGTTAAATCATTTTATTCAATTTTCATATTAAAGAAATCTTAATGCTATAGTGACTATGTATGCAGATACATACAATATTTAACATGCAAAACTACATATAGTGTCTTGGAAATTCCTGAACCATAATGCAAAGTGAGGTTACCATGTCTGAGCATTTTGTTTGATAGTCTATAGCTTCAATGGGGTGGCACTACTGTGGAGTAATTCCATATATATACATGTATATGTATATATATATACACTCTTCATGTATGAAATCTTCTTAATAAGTGTTCTACTGCTGTGAAGAGGTGCCATAACCACAGCAACTCATTAAAGAAAGTATTTAACTGGTACTTGCTTACAGTTTCAGAGGCTTAGTCTATTGTCATGATGGGAAGCATCCAGGTTCAATTCCCATCATCCACATGAGACCTCACAACTATCTGTAACCCAGTTCTAGGGTCCCTGGCACCCTCATACAAACATCAGTGCTCATGAACAAAACACTAATAAACATGTTTTGGTAGATTACAGTATATAGGGGACAATTTAATATTACTTTATTCTTGAGTCTTTGCTAAGAGTATGGTTATGTTTTGTTTTGACATGTTATTGTCTTCTTAATTTTTTGCTGATTTGTTTTGGTTTTGATTTTGTGTTTTCTTTTCTTTTGAGAGAGAGCATAAAGTTGGATGTGTAGTTGTGGAGATTTTAATTGAAGGAAGGGAAAACATAATCAAAATATAGTGTATAAAATACTTTAAAGAAAAACTGCAGTGTGTTAATTAAAAGTAAAATATTCTGACTAACATGTGAAATTGTATACGTGAAAAATATAAAAAAGAACATATGCCATGTTTTGATGAAAAAAATTATGAAAAACATAACGTGTTTTAGATGGTAATGGTACAGGCAGACATGCATACTAATAGGAATTCACATTAGAAAAGCTATTTCATATTTGACAAAGATTCCAAAACACATACTGGAGAAAAAACAGCATCTTCAATAAATAATACTAGGACATCTGCATGTGAACATATAGAGAAAACCATTATGTATCATACTGCACAGAAATATCAACTCCAAATGGATCAGATAACTCCATGTGAAACCTGAAATGTTGAAACTGCTAGAAGAAAGTGCAGGCAGTCCTACATGACATCGTGTGGGAAAGGACGTTCTGAGGGAATCATCTGTTACCTAGAAATTAATATCAACAATTGGAAAATGGAACTTCAAAAAACTAATAGCTCCTGAGCAGCCAGGAAAACTCTCAGCTGCATGAAGAGGAAGCCCTTAGCGACTCTTTGCTATCTATATATTTGGTAAAAGGTTAACACCTAGAATATAAAATAACTCAAAAGCAAAAATTCAAAGAAACAAATGACAAAACTAAAATTAATTTTAAATACAGGGGCTGGAGAGATGGCTCAGCACTTACGAGCGCTGGCTACTCTTCCAGAGGATCCAGGTTCAATTCCCAGCATCCACATGAGAGCTCAAAACTATCTGTAACCCAGTTCCAGGGTCACTGGCACCCTCATACAAACATCAGTGCTAATGAACAAAACACTAATGAACATAAATTTTAAAAATTAAAAGAAGTACAGTTCATAAAGTACACAAATTAACTATGAGGGTGCTCAGCCTCAACTGCTAAGTCTACAAAACTACCCTATACCTCACGATCAGGGAACATCATCTACAAGTGGGCAGACTCTAAAGGGACTCAGCAGTCTGTACACACACACACACACACACACACACACACACACAATTTTAATCATTTTTCTCCTCTTCACTTAGGCTTCTATTTCTGAAATTCTGGGAATCGGTCATTTCATGAGCACAATACAATTGTTTTTGAGCCTTCAAGAAGTCCCAGCCATTTCTGATGAAAATGTCGCTGTAATAGACACGGCTTTCAGCAGTGTTCCTGTTCGCATATACATGCCCAAAAGGAAGTCAGAGACTCTCAGGAGGGGCCTGTTTTATATTCACGGTGGTGGCTGGTGTTTGGGGAGTGCAGGTATGTCCCTTTCCTTGAGCATTGTTGTTTGTTTCACAAAATGTGATACACTCCACGTTAAAATCTCATATATGTTAGTTATTGTAATATAATAAGATATAATAATGCTTTTATTGTTTGAAACGTGTTCTTTTCTGAAATGGGTATTCATGACTACTAAGAACTGTACACAATCTCAGGTAAGAAGAGAAAGGGCTTCTTGAATTTATGGTTTTATTATTGTAATATCGATGGAATGCTGTAGTGAAAACCAAAGTGGGGTTGAACTGAATAGTGGACAAAATATGATCAAATTGAGATGCTGACCATGGTCTTTTATAAAGCATTAATCTGAAGGAAGTGAGAACAAAGATGGTAGCTATAAAAATCACAGAGCTGAAAATACTGCTTTTATTTGATAGTATATATTACACTTGTTTAGATTATATAATATAATATTTCACCACATGTAATTGTATTATCATAATTTTACTTTATTAAATGTAAATAAATCACATATAATGCATATAGCCAATATATCTTACTTTATAATGTACATGTTTCATAGTAGCATTAGTAGAATATAACATCTTTATAACTTGATTTTAAGATAGAGAGACAAAAGGTGCTCTGGAATTTAGTTAAGACCTGAGGAACGCATGTGCAGCATTCTTAGTGGGATATAGTTTTTCCAGGACTCCTGTTTTGCATCTTTAATTCCAGAGATGATAATGATGAGATGGTTATTTAGGTTTTGAAACAGAAACAAACCGACAGGTTAGTTCAGGTCTAACATTTCCCCCTGAAGTTGTATCTTGGGTCAAATCTTTGACTGTATGATGAGAACTGGTTTACATTACAATCTATTAACCATGGCTAATGATACCAAGAGAGATACTGCCATTGAGTTGTTATATTAATATTGTAAGAGTTAGTCGTAGTTAACAAAAATAGAAAGGCAACTTCCTGGGGTTCTGAAATTCAGACAAAATCTCTTTGTTTTGCATAAAGCAGGTTAGGTATTTTATCATATTAGAACCATTCTAATTGATGAAGCTACCCATTGATAAATCTGAGCCCAACTTGTATAGCAATTGAAATTAGCATTAGAGTCATTTTGTCCCCTATGTCAGGAAGTATATTCTGTCTTAGCCCTATTTAGCCACTGTTATGGAAGCAAGGATGATGTGTTCTCTTCTGTAGGTGCTTCCAGATGACCTAAGGCATGGCTAGTCAGGGCTCAGGAACTGTGAAAGGCTAGGCAAAGATTGGGCAATGGGGGCATTTATCAAAACCATCTGATTATCTGCTCCAGGTGAAGAGCAATCATATTACCTGGATTGGTGCATTATCAGCCTCAGCAAGTCCACAGCTCAGTAGCTTATAGTAGGGGCATAGTCATATATAATTTCAACACTTAAGATTTGCTAAAAGATATGGATATTCAATAGAATAGCAGTGGTTTAGACTAGGCAATGTGAAGCTAATAGAGCAAGCCCTTGACTGTGTCTATGTGAAAATGGCTGAGGTTTCATTTTCTACAAAGACAATGAAGTGTTGCAAACAGAAGCAGTTGTAAACTGTCTGTGAGGAGCAATGTGCACTGCTGTGCTTTTGATGACATGCTTTTCTTTCACTTCCATTGACAGTCTCTCACTCTGTTTTCTCAATTTCAGCTCTTTCTATGTATGACCTTCTGGCAAGACAGACAGCTGATAGACTCGATGCTATTGTTGTGTCAACTGAGTAAGACTATGGTTTGCTTCTTCAATGTTTAGTCATGTGTTTTGTGTAGCAAGAAACTAACTCTTGGTCACATTTTATTTTTTTTGGGGGGGGTTATTGCTGGAATATTTTAACTGAAATTAGGAGAGTGAGCAAAGAGAAAGTGAACTCGAGTTGGCAAGAATAGACTCAGAGAAAACAAACAAAAAGGAAAACAAAACACAACACTTAAAATCAACCAGGACTGAAAAGAGAAAGTTCAGAAATCATTAGAACATATTAATACCAGTGCATAACACACACCAGTGACCTGCATAGCTTCTTTCAGTAGACTGAGTACTTAGAGAATCACAGGCAAATAAGGTTTGAAACTTTGCCTGGAGACTTTGTACATGCCATATACTATTAATTCAGTTTAGTTTATCTGTATGTGAACTGAGAAACATATATTTTCTACACAATGTGGTCTTTCTGAGGATGTCATGGCAAACTGCACTTAAGGGGTTAATTTACCATACGCCATGGCAAAATCATCATTAAAAGCAATTTGTCCTCGAGCTACACGTGGAAACAGGCAAATCACATACTATAGAATAATTGATAAAAAATCAATTTGATAGGAATGAATTGAATAAGTAATTAATAATAAAACATAGTGGTCACATACCACTTTTATATTAGGTAAAGTTCAAACATTAAATTAATAAGATTTGTTTGTCACTGACCATTCCAAAAAAGTATAACAATAGTAAAAAGAAAGTGCTGGAAAAAATATGAGGAAATGTATTACCTGCTGTATTTTTTATTATTTTATTTTCACCTCAAGTAGAATTCAATATTTTTCTCAAGTTATTAGTAGTATAATGATGAAATTGACCAAGATATTGGGGTAAAACATATCCATGGGTATATGGATCACAAAAATATGTTTTTTAAAGGAAATTGGACTTTATTTTAGAGAGATAGCATATGAAATTAAATTTCATTCATTTGAAACAATTATTCTTTGCACAGCTATGGCTTGGCCCCCAAATATCATTTCCCACGTCAGTTTGAAGATGTATACAGTGCTTTACGATGGTTCTTACAGGAGGACATTCTTGAAAGATATGGCGTAGATCCTCGAAGAGTTGGTGTAGCTGGGGACAGTGCTGGTGGGAACTTAGCTGCAGCTGTGACCCAACAGGTTTGTTTGAGATCTTAAAACACCCTATATGTAAATATATTTGCTTCAGACATTTGAAAGATCAGCGAAAACATGCTATTTTAATACCATGTTAAAATACTAGAGAAACGCCTGTACTAATGTTAGGAAACATTTGTCTATATAGTGTTTCTAAGTGTGTTTTATGTCAGTGTTTTCTTTTATATGTATATGGCAACATACAATTTCTAAGATTTTGGTTGCATATTATTATGGTCAGTTAGGTAACGTCCTGTACCTATTATGGGTTGTACTAGTAATGTTGGTCAACTTCACTTGTCACCAAAATTGAGAACGTGGTAACAGTAATATTGAGAGTTGGAGGATGCCAGAACTGATTTCATATCTCTTGATAATGGAATAATGAAATTTTCTAAAGGAGAAATGTTAGGACAGAGGACTAAGAATCATCAGTTTACAATTACCTTTTGCTTGTCAGATGATTGATAATATGAGTTGTTCATAAAGTTTTAGTATAGTTAGCTACTATGAGTACATTTTGTTTGCATATAGTGCTACATTTAAATTATCTTCTTTATTTCCAGAAGAAAAAAAAACTACAAATTCTGTGGTTTGTGCTAATATCTGTAAAAAAAAAAGCGTAGAATATATTTCTTTTTAAAAATATTTATTTATTTAGTATGTTTACAATATTCTGTCTGTGTGTATGCCTGCACACCAGAAGAGGGCACCAGATCTCATTATAGATGGTTGTGAGCCACCATGTGGTTGCTGGGAATTGAACTCAGGACCTTTGGAAGAACAGGCACAGCTCTTAACCTCTGAGCCATCTTTCCAGCCCTAGAATATATTTCATAGTTTGAATTCTACATTGCATATTCCTCTTTGCTCTGGAAGGAAGCCCGGTACAACATGAAGTACACATGAAGAGACAAGAATTTTTGGAAGTAAAGCAGTATCCAATTGTGGATTTGTCCATTTAACCTAATCACTATAGTCATGCATTTGTTTTCCCTGTTGCATTATAAACCCTTATTTTATAAATCCAACTTCTGTCATTTTAAAAGATTTCAAACTCATAGTTACTTAATATTTGTATAAAATATCATTTAATATGCTATTGACAGTCACAGACTAAAAAGAAGCAGAATATTTCTAGACCTGAAACATTTTTCAAGACAGACATTCCACGCAGTAAACCTGAACTTCATTGTTTTGTCTTTGGTAACATGCACTACTTAAAGGACACCTTTTCCTGAGATGAGTTTTGGTACCCACTCAGGGCTACAACTGTGACATTAAATAGAAGAACCTCCCCCCATTCATTCTTCTAGATGGGACATGCATAAACCACCCCCTCTCCAGTATGTTGCAATGACTGACTCTCAGTGTCAGAGCCAAAAAATGTTCAAATCAGTTAGAGACTTGCTTCTCAACATCCTCCCTGGTTTTTGACTGGTTAACATATTTAATAATACATGACTTGCCAAAGTCATAAAAGTACTTTCAGGGAAAATATTGCATAGCATTTGTACTAGTATTTTTGAAATTGAATCATGAGCATTGTGTAAAATATGTCTACATGATGTCAGTAGTTACATTTAGGAGTAGACACTGACAATATAGAAAATTGGAAAATTCTGTGAGATATTTTTGCTGTGTCTGATTATTTGAATTTATCTCATCTTTACATATTATTTCCAGATGAAAATAGACCTATTAAAATATTCATTCCAATGTAATTTTAATTCTTTTTTAGCTCATACAGGATCCAGATGTCAAGACAAAACTCAAGGTTCAGGCCTTAATATATCCTGCCCTTCAGATTCTTGATATAAACTTACCATCATATCAAGAAGGTATATATTTTCCAATTTTAACTACCTCCTTGTTGGCTAGGTTTTGGAGTGAATACTTTACTACAGATCGAACACTGGAGAAAGCCATGCTTCTCAACCAACATGTACCTCTGGAATCCAGTCATCTGTTGCAATTTGTGAACTGGAGTTCCTTACTCCCTGAGAGATATAAGAAAGGTCACATCTACAAGAGTCCCACTCCTGGTAGTTCTGAACTGTCTAAAAAGTACCCAGGGTTCCTCGATGTGAAGGCATGCCCTCTGTTGGCCAACGACAACACTTTGAGCCACTTACCTCTGACTTATATCATCACTTGTCAGTATGATGTCCTAAGAGATGATGGACTCATGTATGTGACACGGCTTCAGAATGTTGGAGTTCAGGTGACCCATCACCACATTGAGGATGGGTTCCATGCAGCATTTACCCTTCATGGTTTTAAAATTGCACACAAGATGCAAAATCAGTACTTGAGTTGGCTTATGAAAAATCTATAGCAAAACCTACTCAATGATTTGTTGAAGATACATAAATAACCAAAAAAGAAATAAATTAGGAAAAACTGTGATTCTGAGGTTTCATATCCTGTTTAAAACCTCTGTTGTTCCTAAGGAGTTTTAGCTTCTGTGTTTTGTTACTGTTTTTTTAATTAGTAACAGACATCTTTCTATTTTATCCCTCCCCCTGCATTTACCTACAGAAACACACCTGCAAACCAGGGTTTTATGTAGGTGCTGATCATCCAAATCCATGTACTCGTGCCCGTGAAGCAGGTGCATTACCAACTGGGCCATGTGTACAGGTCCAAATTCCTTAACAATTCCACAGTGCACTTTTACTATCCATTATTATTATACCTGTAAGAAAATTGGGGCTTAAAGAAGTGAAACAATAACATATGTTCTAAATCTAGATACAAATTGCAGGAATGACAATCAAGTCCATGTAATAACAACAGCAATACTTTAGATTTGGAAACTGAACCTCATTTTATACTTCATCATTAAAATGAAATTTGATCATATTTTCCCGATGCTCTTGATGTATATTTCAAGCTAGGCTTCAAATAAAGCGTAATTTATATAGTTACTGATACTTCATGCTACCCACTGCTTACTTTACATTATTTTAATGTTTATAACATTTGATTAGTTCATTAATACTGAGGAAAATTTCACCTTTTTAGGTCAAAACCCATGTACTTATAACAAATTGCTTATTTCATACTGTTCTGCTTTTATATTTCTAAGAGAATGAGGTTTTGCATACAGCATTCTGTTCCCAACTAGATCCACAAAGTAGTAACATTCATTTCTGAATTCTCTAGTTTCTGTTCCCACTGATTCAATGAAAATGCTCTGATTGTGTGGTTAAGTTCAACACATTATACTAATCTCTATTCTGCTTGTATGAGCTTGCATGCATATCTATTTCTTGCACCAGTAAAATGGATGCAATTATGCCTCAGTAATAGGATTAGGTAACAAATGAATTAATTCAAATTTTCAGTGGGAAATTATTGTGTAATACATTAAGAATTATAGAAGTATATTTCAGGTAATGAGACCCAAATCTACATTTCTCAGCTCCCTTAGCCTGAAGGATGACAAGTCTCAAGTCCACAGACCTCCAACTCTTAACCCACACTTTTTACTCAACTAGTTAGCTTCAGATGTCCAATCCTAGCCCTGAAACAGAAACAACATGAAAACTCAGAAGACCATGTCTCTTTCAGCAATTACTAATCCCAGAATAAGGGGCTTGATGTATATGACCTATAAAAATAATCAGGCAAATAAATGAAAAAAAATGATTGTAACTATGTACAAACAGCTCAAGAGAGGTTGGAGTATACCACCAAAATAACAAAAGCATAGAACTGAAATAAACAAGGAAGTCAATCAAAGATGCAAACTACTATATGTCAGTAAAGAGAAGTACTACAGAAAACCCAACTGGAAGGGTGATGGAAATGAAAAACTCAGGGAACCAAATACAAATCTCAATAGGAAGCCTCATAGTACAGGAGGTCCTTCTGTCTTTGTGTTGCTTTCGTTGATTAATAAAGAAACTACCTTGGGCCTGTGGATAGGGCAGAACTTATGTAGGCAGGGAAAACAAAACTGAATGTCAGAGAGACGCCATGGATCTGCCATCTGCCATTGAAGATAGACTTTCTTTGATGATATGTTTAAAAGGACAAATTTAGATTTCGATTGTAGCTGAAAACTGTTAAAGATATCCTATACCAATGTAAAAAGGCAGTCCCTCCTTGGTCATCCTCCACTCCTTTATTAGGAGATGTTGTAGATAAAGGAGTATATGTATCACAAAGCATCTTTATCTGCTTGCATATGACTAACTCTCAGCAGAAAATTGGCTCAAAGGTGCACAGAGCCGAGATGACTTCTCCTTTAACCTTTTATTCACAGAGGCTGGTAGTCAGAAATAGCCAAGATTTCTGGCCCCTGCTCCCCCCCTCCAGGTAATCTAAGACAGGACAGACATAACAGAATGTATATAATGATGACAGGTAAGTCTGGAAAATGGGAAAAGGGTCCCCAAGCTAAGCACAGTCATCAGTCCTGTAGCAGAAGCACGGGCTTTATTAACTAAAATCAAAGGGAGGAATTATGAGGACCCACAGACGTGAGCCTGTTCCACCTTGATTGGAGGTCAGAGAGCTTGAGCTTACTTTTGCTCTTTCAAAGTTGTTGAGAACAACAGGTGTGACTACAAACAAGAGATTCTGACCTAGGGTGTGGTTAATTAGTGTTTTGGGTGCAGAGGTGGATCTGCACAACCATGACCAAAGGTCATAGAATTCAAGTCTGTTCCTTGTGTGATGCTAATAAAATCTGTTGGCTCCCTGTCCTCTTCTGGAGTGAAGTATATAAGCATGTTGAACATAAAGGCAGGTGGATTCAGTATCCACTGAATTTCCCAACCAATGCTGTTCTGTTTCTGTCTCTTATTTCTCTCAAATCTCTGATTCTTTTGCTTAATCATTCTAATCCTCATGCCTCATGTTCCTACCCTGGAATGTACAAATTTCATCGAGGCTGCTCTTTGATAGGCTACGTCTCTCGACTGAGAAAGGAGTTGAGCACTAATTCCCATCTCCAGCCAAAGAGCTCTTGACAATTAATTAATTAATAGCAGCTGGGAGAGGGAGGGTCAATTTCTTTTTCTAAGAATGTAGCTGTTTATAAATCACCATGCTCTAGTAGAAGGCCAAACCTGCCATTACTTTGGCAGCACAAGCTAGCTTTATTGGAAAAAAAAGAACTGAAAGTTGCATGGGTAAGAAAGTGGGGTTGGATTTGGGTAGAACAGAGGGAGGAGGTAGGGTTAGGGTAAATAGAACCAAAACACATTGGTATGCTGTTTCCAAAATAGTAATAAATTATATCTATATACAGAGAAATGCTAAAAGACATCTGAGAAAAAGAGATTATAAGGAGAAAGAGGGAAACAAAAAGAAACAAGAATTTTCAGAAAAGTAATCATTCAAACAAACTCATAATGTTTGAACATCAACATAGTTCTATTGCGTTTTTAGTGTAAACAGCAAAAAATCAACTAAAATTACCTGCATAAGTAAGTCTATGTACTGTCGATATAGAGATTCATAAAATAGGATGTCAAAGTGTTAAATGTAATAAAGAATGGAAGTCAAGCATGGGTATTTCTATTATTAATGGTTGTTTTTCCTTTGTTCTTGGTTTTATGATTAATGTTAAGTTGCTGTCATCTTGAAACAACTTTTTGTACAAAAACAAAACAAGAAAACAACAACAACAACAAAACATTTCGGTAAGCCTCATAGTACCTGAAAAGCAAATTTTAGTGGCAGACAATCCAAAAATAATAATCAAGAAAAACACCAGAGAAAAATCGTTTACACAAGAAAAAGTAAGAGAGAAAAAAAAGGAGAGAAGGCATGGAAATAAGGGAGGGGAGGGTGAGGGAAGAAGGGAAGGGGATAAAATTATAATAGCAACACCGTGCTCAGAAATGAGTATAAATTAAGTCATCCAACTAAAAGACATGTGGTAACTGAACATATTTTTAAAAAGAAAGAAATTGGACACTGATGACAAGGAATTCACCTTGTGAATTTTTAAAAGTCTACCACTAACACAAATGTCTATTACTTGCTGTTATTAGATGTGTATACTGGTTTTCCTGATTTCTCAGTGACATGTGCATGCACACACACACACACACACACATACACACACACACACACACACACAGAGAGTCTCTTTACTAAACTGCCTAGCAACGTAATAAGGCTATTGGATTTTTGGAACTTACAGATAAGAGCTATTTCCTATGCAAAGTTCTTCCTTGACTATCTGTGAAGTATAATTTTCCTGTTCCTTCTATGAAAACTTCTTTCCTATGCATATGCAAAGTGAAATGTAAACTGAGCAAATTGTGCAATATTTGATGATAGAGGCTTAAACAAACTGAAAACTGGACACAGTGTTTCAAAGGTCATTTGTTGTTTTGCCAAAATAGGAAGAACAGAGGAAGCATCTGGGACAGTGAGACTCTTTTACTTCTTAGTGGAGGGTTCTAGGAAAACACTGTATCTACCTTCCCTTGACAATGCTGGGGAAACTTAGAACTTCTGGGTACTTGGGACCAGGTGGGTGGTCCCTCATGCCTGCTCTGCCTGGGCAGGTCATAGACCACATTCAGTGGTGCTGCCACAGACAGTGACCAGCTGGCAAATTTAGCTCAGGTTCTCAGGTGTCTGCCATTACAGCACTCTGAGACTGCCCTGTTTATAAGCTTAGGCGGGTATAGCCTTACTGGCTTTTACTATCCTTGCCTTAAAAAAAAAAAATCTTGTAATCAAAAAATTAGGAGAATTCCTAAATCCTCTCCTCTGTGAATGATGTAGATGTATCCACATAGGCTCCTGGGTTCATGGTTCAATTAGCCTCTAGGTATTCTCGTTGGCCAGTTCTGGGCACTGAGGTGTAGATAGATAGCCCTGGAAACTTTCCTGCTTGCCTTTCCTAGATCCACAGCCAGCATAGGGCTGACTTAGCTTGCCACAGCGCATGCGTGGACTGCCACACTCTTGTCTGAAAATATAATTTTGACCTTCCCTTGTGTCTTAATCAGCTTCCCTCCAAGATGGGAGGCTTTAATCTCTAAGGAAACTGTGGCAAAACACCCAGGTAGCATATCACCCAGGCAGACCCAGGCAGGAGCCCCACATTCAGATCCTTTCTTATTTACCATTGAATTAGAATCAAGCCCATCACCCTGATCCAAAATCAACGTTGTGCATCTAAGGACTGACCTAGGACTGACCTACTAATTCTTCATACTTGATCTGAAATCAACCGAGCTTGGCAGAACCAAGCTTTCACTCGCCCAAGGGAGGCTACTATCTCGTATCAGACACGCAATGAATGAGGTCACAGGACCAGACCACCTGACAAAACCAAAATCAATGTGAAAGGCTAAAATCATATGTCCCCCCCCCAAATGAGACCTATATAAATGTTGTACATTGATAATTACCTAGATGAAACCCAAAACACAGAGTTTAAAACCGCAATCATAAACATAATCAAAGGATCTGAGTAATTTAAAGAGAATATGAATAAAAACCTTAGCCGATTAAAAGAGGGTGGGAATCAACTCCCAAGTGAAGTGCAGGCAAACAGTAAGAGAAGTCTGCTTGGTGCTATCCTGTCTGCACCATATTCATCATCCAGGCCTAGTTAATGATCAGCCTAGACTGGTAAGGCCTGTATGTACTCTTCCCAGCCCCCAGAATTGGCCCGGATTGTAGAGTTTCCATTGTCAGTCCAAAAGGCTTCCTCTGTCTCATCCTAGTCATATATCCTATGCACCAGCCCAGCCTCCTGAGATGGCTGCAGCCGAACCCACTCACTTCCATGCCCACACTTCAGGGTTAGCCTGGGCTGCACATCCTGGGTCCTCTTGAGATGCACATTTGTGTGGAGCCTTCAATTGCCTCTGCCGCTTCGTCTCTGTGTGGTGGTAACCGGACTTGGGTACAGAGGAACTTCTGCTTCAAGTTCCGTTGTTGCTGGTTTCCATTTTTGATCTTAGGAACTAGGAAAAAAATCAGAAACTACATTGTGTGAACATCATCTCTAAGATGACTTTGGGGAGGTCCTCACAGACACACGTCTCTTTCACAGCAAAGCCTGGGTACCAGGGGCTTGCATCTCTTCCTACAGCCACTCAGGACAAGTGGCTGACATTCATGTATAAGGATGTAAAAAAAAAAACAAAAAAAAAAAAAAAAAAAAAAAAAAAAACAATTTTTCCTTATTTAATTTTTAAAACTTTATTAAAACTTTTTTAAAGGCATTGGGTCTGATTAATTTGAATGTTTGATTGTTTCATTTGCAAGATTTTTATAATACAGTTTAAAAAGTCTTTATTATAAATACCTCGCAAATTAAAAACAAAATCCCAGCAAAAGAAACTATACCCAAATTTTATACATTCCAATGAATTTCTACACAGTTAGAATTTAAAAAAATATTTAAAGACCACAAAACAACAAACTGACCCATCTATTTTTATCTTGGATAGCTGCTATTCTGCCAAAAGTCATTCCCTGTAGTAAATTTTCTAGAATTGTTTTTAATGTGTTATTTTTCTTTCGAGTCTCCTGAACACTAAGGTTTCAGCTTCCAATAAAGGAAAAGGAAGAGTACACACTATTGAGACTTCCAGATACTTCATAGGAGAGCAGAATGTTGCTGTAAAATTCGCCTAAAGAAAAACAAACAAACAGAAACATCTCTTAAATAAAATTAGAGCGATTTCAGGGGGCGGAAATGGGATGTGAGGTACGGTAAGATAAAGCACATGTGCTCTTAGTCTATTGATGTGAAGACTTGATTGGTTTTGCTTAACTTCCTTCATAATAACGTGTCACAGTCCACAGCATGGCGGGGCGCTGACGGAATAAATGGTCTTATAATGCTGTTTTGCTGCGGTTACAGACTCTGAAGCAGGACAGGCTGAGCTCTCTGCAATCAACTTGAAACAAAGCACACAAGTAGCTCAGCTGCACACATTGCGCCATATTCTCCCCTCCCTCCGTGGGACTATTAATAAGGGAGCTTAGGGGTCTCTTTTAACGCGGATCCAGGGCTCCGCCCAGAGAAGGCAAGCCTATAGGACAGAAGAGGTATTAGGGACAATTCCAAAGCACGTCCACATGGTGGCGAACACAGCACCCTGTCAGAAATGCACTAACTAGGTGGATGCCAAGCTGCCGAGTGAGCAAGGATCGTAGCTGATGCTTCTTGGCTCACGTTTCTGACGGGATTGACATTTAATGTTAGACCAACACCCAGAGTCAGTGAAATGCCCACAGTTTTGTTTTCGCTCTGGGCTACTTCCGCAGGCTTTTTAAGAGGATCACTCGATACAGTAATTGTGTTGTACCCCATCCCATCCTCACCCCACACTATTTAGAGCTGCCTAAAGTAAAGGAGATTTTGTTAGGGCCAAAATTGTTTCGAGTTTGGCTTCTGTACAATCTGGACTTTGTGTCCGATGCTCACTGAGAGCATCTCCGTTGAATCCAGGTAAAGTTCTGTGGCTGCCTGCTTTCTTTCTTTTTTTTTTTGTTTTTGTTTTTCGAGACAGGGTTTCTCTGTGGCTTTGAAGCCTGTCCTGGAACTAGCTCTTGTAGACCAGGCTGTTTTCAAACTCACAGAGATCCGCCTGCCTCTGCCTCCTGAGTGCTGGGATTAAAGGCGTGCGCCACCATCGCTCGGCTGCCTGCTTTCTAAATTTGCTAAAGGCTCACCGAGGGACAGCATGTGCCTGCCTTAGGGGACTGTCACAAACTGGAATTTGAAAGTTACCCAGTATATCACAGAGAGTAGGAAGCCACTTTTTTGTGGGCATACTATAGTTTCTCAGTTCTTAGTCTCAAGTGAACATTTCTTTCTTTGGGAGGAGGCAGGAAGCAAACCAAACCAAAACAAAACAAAAGCATACCTAATCCAAGCCACTTTAAGTGCAGATACCCAGGGAGTCTTCCCATAGCCCTTGAGGGCTAGTAATCACCCCTCTGAGTTACTTCAACAAAGGATTTTTTTCTTTTTCATTTTGGCTGCAGTATTAGTGACACAATAAAAAAATATGTATTTATTTTTGACCTAATCTCAATCCACAGTTGTCTCTCTCCACTTTTAGCAGAATGTGCTGTGTATGGTTGTGTACTCTGTGTTAATATATTAGAAATCTACAGGTCTGTTTTCTACATGTTATACTGCTAGTTAATTATAATAAAAACCTTTACTAAGGTCTAGAACAAGTTCAGTATTCCTAGAAAGTAAATAAAAGAAAACAATAAAAAAATTATGCTATTGGTCATGACTTAGAGAATTATTTTGCTTCTTCTGCCCCCTTGTGGTGAGCCAAGGATGTTGCCCAGCATAAACTAAAATGAAGAGGCAAGCCTGGATTAGGTGTGTGTGTAAATGAGTTTAAAGAAAACATTTGCAAGTTCTCGGTTGAGAAAAGTATTTCAAATTATAAATATCTCAAAATCATCTCTGAATCAATATATATATCTAATTGCTAAGTTTAAAGAATTCAAAACTATCTCCAATAATTTTTTATTTACTCTTAAATATTTTAGCTCCTAATAAG